ATCCTTGGAAGTTTTCTTACATGAAATCTGCTAGGTTTAATGAAGCTTTTAATCAACTGCATTAAACACCACCTCCCAATTAACAATGGGTATATAGTCAGTGTGAGGAGGAGCATCCTGTGATTTGGTAACAACAGGTGGACTTGCAGGAGGGATTTCCATCTATCTCTGATTTCTGACAGTTTCAAATAAGAAGTAATGCATCCAGAAGTACAGATTTCCTTCTAATAAATGTAAAGTAAGATAAATCCATCCTGAATCTTTAATGTGGCAGACATTAAAGAATGGGAAAGTCTAGGTAGGCTTGTCATAGTCATGTATAGTGAAAGGTCAGCTAACAGTAAGTAGACTATACTGGGTTTCCTTTCGTTTATTTTTCCTTTTCTCAATTTATACCAGAAATTTACCACTTTGTGACACAATGTTGGTTATTAATTTTCCTTTTTTTCCCCCTTGTCTGTTAAATTCAATAGAAAAATCCAATTATTATGTAAATAGAGCCTTGCTATAATTGTCACAAACAAGTTAGCATAACAATGAAGAACAACAACTTTCTGAAGTCAAAGCAAGCACTGATTTATGACTATCTCTGAGGTGTGATTGATACAGAATGTTTTGGAGGAGTATTTTCAACATCTCCTTCATTTTACAGCCCACTTCCTCAGATCGGCCCAGCTGAGGCATGTTTGCAAAGAGAAGTTGCATTGGAAGAGGGAACTTTCCACAAATTCATTTTCTTTTCTTTAAAGAAGGAGAAAGGGGGAAAAAAAGCCCACAAAAGCCATTATTCAGACAGTCTTCTTTTTAAAATGTTTCCAGCAGATGTTTATGTAGAGAATGTGCTGGAGCTCCTTCAGCAAGACACAGAAGTGACATTTCTTGAGGGTTTTAGTTGAGGAATTTGTCTTTCACATCATGTCTTTAAACATCTGCAAAAGGCAACAGAATCTTTATTATCCTGCTAACTTGAAGAGAGGCACAGTCCTGACTCCTTAAAAAATGGTATTTAATGGGACTGACAGATGAGAAATATCTAGCTCTAATGTTTTCCTTCAGTAGAAATTCACCTCTTGACCTTATGACTCCAGAGTACGGCTGCTGCCTTCTAAAAAAGACCATTTCCTTCCATTCAGATGTGCTTTCTATGGTTTTGTTGTTTTGTTTTTCCTTCCTGCTCAGTTATCCGCTTTAGGGGAAGGTATCGTCCTCAGGATTCAAACAAATATAAGCTTATAAATACCGCAAGCACACTTGTGCTCGGTCTGTTTACAGTCTTTGTGCTTCCAACCCTCTTTCAATTTCTTTAGTTGGGTGTTTTTCTTCTTCCTCACTAAAAATCAACACTACCTTCTTTCCTTGCCTTTTCTTTTAAATGGATTTTGAAGGGATGGTATAATTCAGCTTTCCTATTCCTTTCCTTGAGTCTGGTTATTTGCTGCGGTGCAGAAAAGATGGACTGGGGCCATTAGTCAGGGCTGCCCAGGTTGGAACTCCTGCCTTACAAAGTAACCTTTTGAAGAAGAATTCAATCTATCTTTTGGTTGTCTGGTTTGTTTCAGGTTCTTAGAGGGGTGATGCAGGTTTGTCTGTGGGTTTTTTCACTCTCCACTGTATTATATTTCGGTCGTTGAACCTTTTTTCTCCCCCTTCCTTCTTCTTTTTCTCTTTACTTTTTTTCCTCCCTCAAGGGTTTTCTCTGGGAAAAGTTTTCTGGGCTTCCATCCAGCCAGTGTCACAATTCACAGCTGTACTGTTTGATTCAAGTACTTCAAGCTGCCAGTGAGGTAGAGCCAAATGAGATTAAGGGCTTTTTTATTAAAGCAAGCACCCGCATGTGCTGGTATGGTTAAGGCTACGTCAGGCGTTCCAATACGAACCCCAATTTCTGGAGACCTTTAGTTCTCAAATATAAAATATCTTTGCCAGGCTGAAACCCGACCTAGATGCACTCATCTGGGAGGAGCTGTAACTCTTTGGAAAGAAAGAGTTTGGCTTTTATTAAGTTACAGCTTCAAGAAAGGAAAATGTACTGATTTCAAGATAAGCAGCTAAGAAAAAAAAGAGAGATGTATGTTAAAATGTATGTTAAAAACAGCAACAGGCATAAACTAAATGAGATATTTTAAATGGATTTATGGTGGATTTTAAGGAAAGCAATGCTTTTTGTAGCAAGAGATTCATCCATTATCCTCCTTCCCTGGCACATGATGGATTTGAGCCCTTAGTGCTGGTCAAACTCTGATACTCCCAGCACTGTGAAAATACTGCTGTTTCCTTTGATTTCTGACATGAGCCGAAAGCCGAACCCACATTTCCAGAGAGAAATGCATTTTTAAGCTCCCTTTCCTTTCACAAAACACCCAAATGAGACCACTTTCTTTTTATACTGATTCTCATCTTTTGTGTCAACATTTGTGCAGATAAATGAATCGATATTTTAAGCATAAACATACATGTGTCTATGGAAAACAAGAATGTGCTGTAGTAGAGCTGATCAAGAATGTTAAAGGAAAGAAACAAATGGAAGAAAATTAGAAGCTTTACAGAAAAAAAGACCCAAGTCATCACTGTAAACTTTTTTTCCGTAAATTTGGGCCAACTAAAAAGTGAATCATAAGGTTTTGAAAGTTATCGTTATCTCAATTGTTGGAATTCTCAGACAGAAGTAGCCTTTGTCAGTATTAGGTCACCCTTTCTTTTTCCTTTTTGTCCAGCTGTGTTACTGAGCATCACAGGTGCCTTGATGAAGCCCCTGTGCACACACTGACAGAGGCAAGCCTTCATCCTTTCAAGACAAGAGGTACTTTCATATAAACATACGTCTGAGATGGCACTGTGGTTGACAGTGTGAGCTTTAATTCTCTGTCCAGGAGCCGAGAGGCAGCTACAGCTCTGTGTTCTCACCCAAGGGGCCATTTCAGGAGAGGGATATACCTGGATTCAGGTATAAGGAGTAACTTCAGCTGAAGAAACTAAAAGCAGAATCAATTCTTGAAAGTAATTTCTTATGCATTGGGTGTTTGTTTATTTAAAATCTCCCCTTTTGATATAAATCACTAGGGAAAAAAAAATAAAAACAAAAACAAACCAAAACTCCAAACGGAAAATTTTGAGGGTTTTTTTTTTTTTTATTTACTATTGAATTCTTCAATTTAATTTAGAGGCTTTGTAGTTTCTTGAGATGCTTCATTTCAGTTGGTTGTGTCACCCTGGAGTTGCTAATCCAGCCTTAACTTACCTGTCACAGGCAACAGCAGTAATCAAATGCCAGCCCTCCCTTGGACCATATGTTTTAACTGGTGCTGTATCATAGCTGACACTGTAAATACTGGATGCCAGTCTCTATGTCATTGTCCTACCATTTTCAAGAGAGGAATTTAGGAAGGAAGGGAGGGTTAGAGCTAAACCTGTAATAAGGCTGACAGGTTTGCATAATTGCAGTGTAATGCCCTTGTTCTGCATATCTTCATGGTCAGGCATTTTTTGGCCATTTTCTGGATTTCTCCCTCATACACTAATGATTACCAAGATACAAATACCCACATCCTCATCGCTGCTGTTCATGTAATCCTGGCAGTGATTTGAGATTTACATGCTGAGAGACTCCTTAAGTCTACAAGACTCTGTAATCAAAGGCAGCAACATTAATATTCTGTGCAAATGTGAAGAAGCCATGAAAGCTTTGTTTGTTGCTAAAGAAACCAACTAAATCAAACAAGTTGGAGAAAACAAAGACTTGTATAATTGTTTTAATTAAAACTGCCATTTATTCCAGCAAAACTGCAGCACAGTCCTGCTCTCCAAATATTTCTTGCATAGACTTGCATACTCAAAAAGTATTCTTAATAAGTGAAATAAAACATTGCCAACCATTTTCCAGTCCCCTTTGACACAAAAGCTCCTAAACAAATTGCAAAAAAACCTTGCAAAACTTTGAGATGTTTACTTCAGATTTTATCCAAGAGGAATTTATGGAACTTGCCATTCAACTCCAAAGGCATGTTATCTCCAGTGAAATGTAACGCTGCTTAAATGTTCAAAGAACATCATGGCATTTAGCCATAAAACTCACTGTGACTTTAGACGTTTAAAAACAGCATTAATGCCAGGATCAGACTGCCCTGCATGGTTGTTTTAAGTCTTCAGGGCCACAGGCATGCTCTCTTGGGTCTGGGCCCTCCATGTGTTCAGTTTCCAGTACAACTTAAAGCAGAAACTGCTTTGCCTTTCCCTAGCTGCTAAGCCCCTTCACCTCTTCCCACCCCACAAGGTTATTTTGGCATCTCCAAACAAGTCAGACACAGAAGGGATTTTGATAGTAGCTCCTCAGCTTCTGCAACCAGTGCTAGCCTCTGCTTCTTAATTCAAAGTATGAATGATACAAATACATCTCAGTTTTAATTGAAGGAGAATGTCTGACCTTTCTATAAAATAGAGTCACACAAGGTTCCTGTATTTCTTGTGACCTTTCCAACACTTGTAAGGCTTTTAAGCACACACGTTCAGCTTAAATTTGAAATCTTTTGTCTTCCTCAAGAATAAATTGGCTTCCAGTGCAAAATTTGAGCCCACATTTCACTGTTAGTATTTGAATCCAGCATGTTGTTACCGTGTGGTAACCTGAACCACGCTTTCTTTCTCCTCTCAGATAATCTGTTCAGATACTATAGTTTGGCTTGAGCCTGTCTTTTTATCTTCTTTCTCAGCAGTCTGAGAGCTCTTTATCTTCACCAGTACTTGTATTTGTGAAAGTGTATGCTAAGAACCATTTTTTGTATTTATTAATTTTCTGTGTCATTTCAAAGACCTCCCTTTTTTCCAAGCATTAGCATTTTTAAGCTTGGAAATATCCTATGGGAAGCCATAATCTATCAATGAAAGCCTTGAAATTTTCTTCTTAACACGTTTGGTTGAGTTCTTTGGTGAAGTTCTTTGGAGGCTGTAAAGGAGCTTATAGTAACAACTCCCTTTTATTCTTCTCTTTCATTTTTCTTTTCCAGTGACTGGATAACTGAAACAATTTGAAGTCTGTTTTTACTAGAACCTGATCACCACCTAACTGAATGAAGAAACTGAGGACTGTTTGAAAGTAAGGCCTTTGGCAACACATACACCTTGCTCAGACTGTCTCACAGCTTCATCTTATCATATAAAAGGCTTTTCCCAGCGTTGCCTGAGAACAGTGAAAACCTCATTATGAGCTGAAAACTGTTTGGGATTTCAGTGTTGATAATGAAAATCTTATTTATGGAATTGTTGAATACACAGATAAAGTCTAAAAAGCAACAGCCTACGAGACAAAATAACAGTCCTAGGGAAAAGGAGTAATGTAATTACATCATTCCTATTTTATAGTGGCCTTTTCTTTCCATGTACATATTGAAAGAGAGTCAAAGAACTGTGAGATACAATTGTTTCTGGCATCTTCCAGCCTGATTTCAGAACTCACATCAGTTTCCTGTGTCCAGTTAATATGCTGGTAGAATGCAAAAGGCATTACCTATCAGACAGTGCTGAAGATGTGAAAGCATTTTTCAGCTCAACAGCCTTTAGACTCATGTAACAAAAGGTGTGAATCCCCACACAAAAGACAGGATAGGTCCTCTCATGAGTTGTGTTGTCCCCATACTGCTAACAGAGCTGTCATTGTAGAGACAGCCTTCTTGGACTGAAACCTTTAGATTCATTCAAAGCTGAGACAAATTTAACAGGGAAATGTGTGTTGTAGGGGAAGAAAGGCTATACCGTTTCCTAACTCTCTACTTCATTACATGCTTTCATTCCACTAAAATCAGTAATCATATCACAATAGAGCTAGTGAAATATAGTGGGAAATAAGGCCTTTTAATGTAAACCTCTCTGTCTGTCCTTCTATATGGCACCTCCCAACATAATGTCTGAGTGCAAAGTTCTTCACCCTCTTCTGATTTCAAACTTAAAATTGATGTGGTAAAGACCTATTGTCCATAGTAAACTGCTCAAGATGAATCAGCTGTTCAGATTAGCCTCACAGAAATGATAATGGGGTTCTGTGTTCACAGCCGAGTTATTTAAAATGTCTGATTTTGTCCACAGCTTCCTTGGACATTAATAGGTTGACTGCTATGTCACTGAACTTGGTGCATGAAAGGTCAGCCTTTGAAAAGCTAAATAAGGTAAGTGCAAACTGAAGCATGTTCCAGGCGATTCCACATGCTCTAAATGCACTTGAAACCCCTAAGAATCACTGCTGCTCCTTAGCATTTTTCTATATCTGATTTCAAAGTGGTAGATCCTTGGATCAATACTTTGATTTTTACCTCTCATCCACCAGGAGATTCAGGGGGCTGCTCACATGTTATAAACATATGCCTCTCCTGATGCATCTTGAGTAAAGCCGATTGAAAACTTCTTAGAAGATACAGCTTTTCATCAGTGAATGCAGGCATCGGTGAATTTGAAAGATTTTTTCAAGACTACAGCAATTTGGTTGAAATTGCCGAGAAGCACCATTATCAGGCAGGGACACTTCAATAAAGATGGAATGCCTCATCTGACTTCTGTTGGATTATATTGTACATTCTAACATACTGTTGTGCACACCTTGAAGCGATTAAATCAAAATGAAGAATTCGAAGAGTATCGAGATGAAATGTTTTCAGCTGTCCCAAAACAAAAACATTTCAATTAAGGTAGCTTTGATGATCTCTATGTTGAAGCAATTTCATTTTTGTGCTGCCTTTCAGCATTTAGATTGTTACTTGTGCTTAAAAGAAAAGCAAATTTTGGCATGCTGATATTTCTCCCAGAACCAGCAGCCCTCCTCTGCAGCAGCCCATGAGAGTGGTTGGAAGAGTTAGAGTAAGAACATCTCTCTTCCCCTTGCCCAAGCCCTGTCTTTGATGTGGGACCATGGCAGGGGGGAGAGGAGGGAGAAGGATAAGAGTTAGGGTTATCATCTATAAATAGACAGTACTTCACACTCACTTTCTTGAGTGGTCTTAGAGCTCTAGGGGAAAGAAGAACAAAATGAATCTAGGAGAACTTTAGGGAAAGTTTTGTACATTTCAGGAGCGTTCCAAAGTAAAAATTGGCTCTGGCAGTCCAAATTTAGGGCCTTATTCTTTCAAAAGTTTAATTCTGCACTGTGTCTCCCAGCTGGAAAGCTTGTTGAGCAATAAGCATACATGTTTGTTGAACATAAATCATTGCACATGACTAGTTCACCATCCACGAAAAGCATTACTACTCATTTCTACTTCTGTGGTTGTATGGTTACTGCAATCTCCTGATGCAATAGAGCTAAATGCTAAGTGAAGGCAGCAGCTTGGTTCAGGCCTGGGTTTTTAGAATATGGGAGCTGTAAGCTGAGAAAACTGGTTGGGATTTTTAGCAAAGGAAGGTTGTCATCACACTTTGACCTGAAATGGAATAAAACTGTCCATTGTGAAGGGACCCAATAGCAAAGCTGTCAACGTTACTCAAAAATATTTTTGAGAGAATTGTCTTATAAGGACTTTACTGCATTGAATTTCTTCGTGTATGTTTGTTTCATTTTTTTTCCCATAGGTGAAGAGGATGTAGAAAATATTCCATGTGAATCCTACTGTGGCTTTTCTGTTGAAGGGTTGTTTGGTGGGAGGTAAGCAAACAGGCCATTGCCGGTGATGATTAAACCACTCCAATATTATGTTAAAAAGTATAATAAGAATCTTGTCCTCTAAACCAACAAGCAAGTGATACCCAAGCCAGGAAGCTCAAAATCCACAAAACAAACCTAATCCCAAAAGCTGGATTTGGTTATTAATTGACTGATTTCCTACCAATAAGAGCACACTTTCAGGCTGGTGGGCTTGATGAGAGCTACTTGAAAGCCCAAACTGAACAAGCATGTGAAATATTTAAGGCCACATTTTTATATTTATTAAAAACAGCCTAAATAATTAAACTAGTTGATTCACTAGTGGCTTTCAGGCTCATGCCCAGAGTGAAAGGTCATGACCTGACATACCAGGGCCCCACTTGGTACCGATGATTGACAGGAAAAGGAAATAAGTTGATATCTTTCACATGGGAATCACAGCTTGTAGCAACTATGAGCTAGTGGGCTATTTGGACTTTGTGGGAAAACTTAATTGTGTTATTATTCAAAATCTTCGTTCCCAAAGTTGGTTCAATGGTGATTTATTTACTTATGTGATAAAACAGCTGTGTACTGTAATAAAATACAGGTCACTTGCTGATGTTTAATGCACAAAAGTGGGGATATGTTTGGTTTCTTTTACTTTGAACTTATGTTCATGCTAGGCAGCAGGGATGGCTGTATTGTCAGGAATTTTCTGTTAGTGCATTGGAAATAATTAATGTTCTCATCATACTATATATATATTCTTAGGTATGGAGAATGAGGAAGGCACCATACACTGAAATATGAGCGCCTCTCCACCATAAGCTTTCATTATTTCTTTATAATGATAAAAAGGGGCTGCATTCAGTGCCAGACAATGTCATGGCCCAAGAGATTTCAGTGGCCTGCAGAAAAAAGGGAGAAAAAAGCATTTATGATATGAATGAGGATTTGAAATGGCTTTTTAAAAAAGGCCTAAGATCCACTTTCACCCTAAATTCTGAAATCACTTGAAAGATGTCTAGATGCAAGAGAGTTTGAAGAATAGCAACTTTCCACCAGGCTGTGTTTTATATGCAGTATCACTGCCATCTTGGCCATGCTTTGTTACAAGGTCACATAAAGGTACCAAGCAGTAGGGCACAGTCTCACTTCACATATTGTCTGATTTGTTCTAGCAGTGAATCCTGTCATCTTCCTCCAGAGTACATATTCTTTACCCCAGCCATTTACAAGTTAGTTACGTGATGCACTCTTTGTTTACCACTCTTGAGTTCTCCAGGAGAATTTTAAGCCTTAATATAACCTGATTATGACACTGATAAGCAGCCTAGTTACACAGTAAATCAAGATAAAGGTTGCTTCATACGAGGTAAAAGCTGGTGGTATTTCGCCTGCATTGTTTTGATGTGATGCTGCCCCTTTATTCTGCTCTCATGAGACCTCACTTGGAGTATTGTGTACAGTTCTGGTGTCCTCAACATAAAAAGGACATGCATCTGTTGGAACAAGTCCAGAGGAGGGCCACAAGGATGATCAGGGGACTGGAGCACCTCCCATATGAAGATTGGCTGAGAAAGTTGGGGCTGTTCAGCCTGGAGAAGAGAAGGCTGCATGGATACCTCATAGCAGCCTTCCAGTATCTGAAAGGGGCCTATAGGGATGCTGGGGAGGGACTCTTCATTAGGGACTGTAGTGATAGGACAAGGGGTAGTGGGTTAAAACTTAAACAGGGGAAGTTTAGATTGGATATAAGGAGGAAATTCTTTTCTGTCAGGGTGGTGAGGCACTGGAATGGGTTGCCCAGGGAGGTTGTGAATGCTCCATCCCTGGCAGTGTCCAAGGCCAGGTTGGACGAGGCCTTGGGTGATACGGTTTAGAGCGAGGTGTCCCTGCCCGTGGCAGGGGAGTTGGAACTTGATGATCTTAAGGTCCTTTCCAACCCTAACTATTCTATGATTCTATGATGTCATTCCTTCATATTTAACATCCGGCCACAGTGCATGGTATTTTACAAACGGTGTAGACTACAGATCCTGCCAGGAGTACAGGTCTGTGATGAGTAAATTATTGTTCCCAGCTGAGAAACAAAAATGAAATGAAGAAAAATGGGTCCAGGGGCAATACGATACTCAGAACTGAGGCAATACCAGTCTGGAGTAATACCAGTCTGAGTCCGCTCAACATTTCAGCAGAAGGGGGAAGTACTCGGGATACCAACTTTTTTTCCATCAAAAAAAGTATGTACATCCTGTAGCTGCTTCTCCTGAAAGGAAAAGGCCATAATTAACCCAAATCCAGCCATTTTTTAGAATTTATTCAATTCTAAAACTGAGATACTGCAAACTGGAGAGCACAGCTATCACCAGACAGTGAAGTATCAGCTGCAGATACTTGGAGACTTGTCTGCTGGGTTGGAGGCTGCAGTCTGACCTTGTGTAGCCCATAAAGGGTTTGAAAATCGCGATGGCTTTGGTTTGTGACTGACTTTGGCTAGATTCAGCCTGAACATCAAGAGGCAAAAGGCTCTCTATCCTGTGCCAATTCTCTGATCTTCCCATTGCGATCCACCTCCCCACCTCCAGGCTTTCTGTCTCAGCAGCTCCCTGAAGTGAGCACCATGACTGTGAATCAAGAAGGGAAGAAGCCCACAACTCTTCAGAAAAGAGCAGTTATTCTTAGCTTTGTTTTGCTGATGTTTTCTTTCCTTTTCTCCTTTTTTAAAGAAAACAGAAAGCCTGCCAAAACTTGGGCTCTTTGATGTGCTTTGGAAAGGAAAACAATGCTATCTATCCAAGCCCTCTGAAAGGAACAAAAATATGTCCTTTTAAGGCCTGAATTACTTGAGAGGAACAATCAATACATTTCACAATTAAGGATGGTCAAGAATTTTGGGGTGTTTTGCTGGAAATGTTTGATTAAGAAATTTCCAGAGACGTTTTCCTGTTTCAGTGAAACTTTATTAGAGAAAACTTCTGGAATTGTATGGTAGGTGAGAGGCAGGAGGGGGAAGAAAGAGGAAAAAACTGATATTTGCTGTAGAACATTCAATAATATCCCTCGGAGATACCCTAGACCCCATTCAAGCTTTTCTTCTGTCAATTTATATTGAGTATATGAACCTGCCTCATCCATTTTATTCATCCTACTTTGGGATGAGTATAAAAAACAACCATAAAAGCTGTATCTGTTCTGGTTTGTTTGTTGATTCAGCTTTGAGTGGAAACATTGCTTTATAAAACTCTTCAGCTGCAAATGAGACACTGATTTCATTGTCTCCTAGTTGGGAAATTTGTTTAAGATGGAAGCATCCCAGGGTGTAGTCTTTGGCCTGTAAATGCAGGGAAGCTTTTTACACTGCAATCTCAGAAGTTGTAACTGAGTAACTGAATTTCTGTTTGCCCGTTCTTTTTAAGGTTTCTCCTCCATCATCCCAACGACTCTTGAAAGAGCTGATTTATGCAGTGAGAGTTTTGGACATTTTTATCAAATCCAGACATTCCTTCTACAATGTGATTAAAGAAGCACTTGGGTTATTTCTTTTTGTTGGAATTTTTACATATCTCCTTTTTTTTGGCCATCCTATGACACTGCCTATTGCATTGTTTACACTCTGCTCTCCACTGCAGTGGCTGTATGGGAAATGCTTGTGCTTGTACAACTCAGCTTTAAAGAGGTTTTTATCTAGCATTTCCAGTCCAGTGGTTTCAAAGAAAAATGAGCAGAAATTAGACATAGTCTGCAAATGAGAAGGTTCATTGCTTGAGGTTGATACGAAGATGTTTGTTCTCTCATTGTCTATGCTGCACTTACCCATGGATTAAGATGGTTTACTTGGAAAGACCACTCCCTACCTCAAGTTCAGACTACTTATTAAGGGTAGAAAGGTGAAGAAGCCTGACTTCCGGAAGAAGGGTGTTGTGTATTTCTTGGAGGTTTCTTAGTTTGAGCATCTAAAAATTTGAGACTTCTCTAATCACCCTGTGGAAGTCCAGGCCAGGATTTCAGACTTTGAGGATAGCAAGCAAATGCCTTAAATTAGAGGTTTCAATTAGAGAATATTAAATTCTTTTCTGTAACAGGAGATGGTTTAGGAGAAATGGGAATAGCCAGGTGGGAGTAATTGATTTTGGAAGAGTTGTATGTGGGAGCTCTGCCTGGTACTTTCTGTTGTTATGGCTGTTTTCCTTCCACAGCTCAGGAAAACTCATATTCATGCACACTCTTACCCTTCCCTGGGATTCCCCAACTCGGAGACTGTCAGCATTGGCTTATTATACAAGCCCTTTGTTTTATTCTATACAATGCATCCCACTATACACAATTTGGCCTCTTAACCTGCCATGAAATCTTTCAAGGGCTTGTTGCTGGAAGACGTTGTCTCTCTTTGCTATGATTTGTGCAGCCGTGGCTGCATTTTCATGATGGCTTATAATGATTCGTGGTGGGTTGCAATACAATGAACTCATGCCGCAGAACAGCACACTGAAAAAGATCTTTCAAATTATTGTTCCGGTGCAAAAGGTGCCCAATCACCTTCCACCTGCGGATTAGCTGGTTGCTATAGGAACACACTGTAGCTTTTCAGTGCTGCGCTACTGTAGTGCCCAGATTACTGACTCTGACAAACACAATAGGGGAAAAGAATCACGGGTTATTAGTGCTGCTGCTGATGTGATGTTATAAACCTGGGGTGGCATAGAGCGGATGAATAGAGCAAGAGCCTTGAAATGCGAAGGACAAGAGGAGGAGAGGGAGCAGAGTGAAGTGGAGCTAAAGTCATCACTACAGAAATGTTGTCTTTGATCTTATTTTCCACTCTGAATAGATATTTTCATAATATAATGCCAAATGCAAGCAACTCTGTAACTGATGGCAGAGCCACTGGTCATGTCTTTATGTTAGTAGGGGGCTACTCCTTCTCCTTTCTCTTTTCTTCCAGTGAGTACTGAAATCTGAACCTTTCCATTCCTGCAGGATTAACTCTGACCAAGGTCAGAGCAACTAGTCACCAGTATTCTTCATGGGAGAGTCAGGCCTCCTGCATCCCTGAGAAATACCACCTGAAATACCCACCTACACACAGGAGTTTAACAGGGAGTTTTGCAGCATCAGAATTGTGTGCTGTATAGCTGAGATCAGATCTCTGTCTACTTTGGTGGCCATAACCGAGACTCAGGAGTTTATGCCTCTGAGTGCCCTCCTGCAGAGCAAGCTACCTACATGCTTCATAGGGGAGAAGTAACTGCTCTCAGCTCTGATTTGTAGACAATCTGAAGTTCCCAGAAATAGCTTGGTTACCACTTGTGCTTGGGCAGGGTGAAGCAATGGAATAAAATATATCCTTGTCCATTGCTTGTGTGCCTTGAGCAAAACAAGCTGTGTTTAGTCACAAGTTCACCAGATGGTACTCTGGGGGTTATTGCTGTTATATTACATTACTGCAATATATTAGATGAGGTGCAGTGATTCATTCTCTGTCCTCATTGCTTTAGGAGGCTCTGTTACCCTCCCAGTGGAAGCACAGCTGACCCTGCTGCTCATGACCCTTGAGACCCATGTTGGTGCATGTCCACCATGGGCAGGAAGGCCAGTCCAATAACAGCACCAGGCATTACAGAAAGACATGGTTTGCATTCATCTCTGTGGCCAGAGAACCGTATGCATAAGTGACTCCACTTTCTGATTAGCCACCTGATTTGTAACATAGTCTTTTGCAACCCTGACTGTTTCCTTCCTTTTCTGTATTCATTCCCAACTTGTGTTGCCTTCACACTGAGCCCTTGCACTACGCCCTTGGCCTAGTGTGACCCTCTAAGCTGGGAAATGGCATTGCTCAACTACTTGTTTGCAACTGAAGTACAGAGTTTGTGCTATACTTTTAGAGCCCAGAACTATCAAAATACCACTGAGAGGCATTGTTTTCCTCCACTTCTGCTACTCTGTAGGCTGAAACCTTGAGTCGAGTGAATTATGTGTTGACCGACACTTAACAACCCATACTGGATTGATGCCACATATGCATGCAGGGCATAGGTGCTGCTGTTGGTCAGCTGGACTGCCCCTGGGACCATCTGGCACCCTCTTTAGCCTCCCTGAATCCACCATTATGTTTACTGACCAGCTGTTTTTTCTCATTGCCAATGGCAAAGCTTCCCAAGCCACCATTTCCACTTGCTACTAAAGGAGACAAAGAAATACTACCGCCTTTTACCCTCTCCCAATAACCTTGAGCTTCTGGTGCCCTGAGGCCCTACCCCGGTTCACAGGTTGCCTTCTGCTCTGCAGCACTGTTGTCATGGTAGGATGCTAACATTAGCTTCCCTGGTGCCTTCTTGCTCTCCCTAGCCACAAGCACAAGATTATCTATTCCGCTTCCACAAATTAATGAATCCATAAGCAATAAAAGAAGTGAGAGAACTTATTTCAGTTTTGCCTGAGGCATCTAAGAGAGTGATGAAGCAGGTTGGTCTGAACATGCTTGGATCAGAACTTCACCACAGGTGTTACTGTAATTTCAGGCAACTTGACAACTGCAAATTGGACCCTTTGTCCCTTAGATTATGCTTTCCATTTCATGTTCCTCTGGAGGAAAATGAAATTCCTGGGCTGAACTCCTGTCTGCAAATTCAGAGGGACAGGACACATTCTCCCTGTATAGTTTTAAATGGCTTTAAATGAGGACTTACAATGGAAAGGGAGACGGACACCTAACCAGGGAAGTATGACAATGTAGCTCCAATCAAATAATGGGAAAATCTTCCATTACCATAGTCATATGTATGTATGACCTTAGCAATGCCCAGGACTGCTATGGGAGCAACAGTGCAGCGCTCCCGTTATGCCTTATTTTTTTATCAACAATGTTCTCCTTCACTTTGACGTCAGCTTCAAGATTGCTTGCTGTGATGTGCTGCACCTTTCATATTTCCTTTCCAGTCATAATATTGCTTCAGTCGTAACCTCAGCACTTTGAGGAATAATTGTCCCTGACAAGGGGGTGAATCACTGGCAGAGAGTTGATAAGCATTACATACAGATGACAGAAGTCAGGACATATCGGATTACTGCTGTGAATATAATAAAAGAGAGCCTAAACACTTTGGCAGCTCAAAGACAAGCCATTTCATAACTCTCTAGTGGGGCTATTATCTTCCATTTACTGCCACTGATAACCAGGTTGCAACTGTCTCCCTAGGATCTAGTTACAATTCACGTAACACTTAGAGGACCAGACATATTGGAGGACACTCAGATGAGGATAATTTCTTAAAGATCATTTATTTTTAAATTTTTATCTTCCTTGCTCCCCTCTTTATAATGTGATAAGAACCTAAATCGGGAAGCTTTGAACTTCCTTCGGGAAAGGAGAGTTCATGGTCATCTTCCCTTTAATGTTTTACTCCTGAGGTTCTTTTGAAGCCAGTCATTCATATCCAGCTGAATAAGTGACAAGCAGGTTTCCACCTCTCTTGCTCTTGTAATACATGCACCTAGACCTAAAAGCTTGTTCTAATACTGACTCCATTAGGTTTCCGTGTAGGTGTTATGTTTTTATTTCTGTAGGCAGGAAGGGGCACCTGAGCTTACAAATCAGGGGGTGTTGGTGTGCAGCAGTAGCAGATAACTTACAGCAGTGCCCATTACAATCTATGTGAATGGAATCTGGATACAGGTGGTATTTACATGCACTGCATGAGATTTTGTTTCCAAACTTCAGTGCCTAAGACTGGTTTAACACTTCAGGCTCTTTGATGTCAAAAATCTCTCTTTTACGCTAAAGACAAAAAGAATTACTTTGCTGTGGCAGAAATCTAGCAAATGACCAGTGAGTCTCCTTACTATCCAGTACACCTTTGAGAAATACTAAGATTAGGGATGAAACTTACTCCGTGTGAAGTGAAACTGTATTCTGCAAAATTTTTCTCCTGAAGCAATACCATGAGCAGCAAATGTGAGCTCACCTCAGCTTTCAACATATGAGGTGTTTTTAGATGCAAGACAAGAGCTGTTTCACTCTCAGGCTGAAGATACATATATATAGCTGTAGATGGGAGCCTTATTTTGTAAGTTTGGCCACATAAATCCATACACAGATTTGTGTCTGCCAGAGCCTCCTTCACAGCCCACTGGGTGCAGAATGTCTTTGCAAAGATGGTTCAGAAGGGGAGGGCTTCTGAGAGCAAGTGCTATTGGCAACTCAGGGGTTGCACATTCGTAAGTGTATTCCTGACTTCATGTTATAAAGTTCTCCTTACATTCTCATTGCTGGAAGTTCTGCAAAGAAGCCTCTCTACATGTGAATTGGTGATTTGGTGAATTACGAACTAAAACATCCTCCTCCCCCTACCACTTACATCTTTATCCCCCATCGCAAACTTTATACCTTAGCTGGCCAAAATGAGGTGCTTACTGTTATATATGAGCCATCACAAATCTATTTGGAGAAAAATTGAACCAGGCTTTCTTAAACTACAAATAGTAAGTTTAAATTTGCCTTCTCAGTACAGTTTGCATCCCTGCTTGATTTTTCACAGCACAAGTCCTCTGCTTCAGAGAACCAATAAAGGACAACAGCAATTAAGGGGGAAGGAAAAAAGTTAAGTCATTGTTGAAACAGTAATTCCAAGTGGTTTCTCTTCAGGATTTCTGGATCTTACCACTAACTTTCTTACAGCCAGAGAAAGCCAACTGGATACCTTTGTGCCCTGCTTTATCCATCTGTAAAATAAGGGTGATCAATCTTACTTGCTCGACAATTTTGTCACATGGTGCAACCAAGTAATATCTGTAAATTGCTTTAAGATGTTGAGATCAAGGGAACGATGGAAGTGCCAAGTGTTGTTGTTGTTTCTGTATTAACAATGTTGGCTGTTTTCACTGTTCATATGGTAGCCTGGCTGGAATTGGGCAGGAAGCCCAATAATACCAGCAACCAACAAGAAACTAAAATAAAATGTTTTACTTAATGAGCGCCTCTGTTTAATCAGAAGCCTGTGTAATTATGTCACAGAGGGCTAAGGATCTAATGTTTTCCTAATACATTTGCTTTTAAAGGGACGATTAACCTGGCGTATTTCAAGACGATAAGCTGCTTCTTTGTTCAGTTCCAGTTATGTTTTTCTGCATTCCCTGGTGGATCCAGAGAGAACCTGAGAGTCAGAGGCTTTTTCTTAATTGCACAGTAACTATCTTGTATGTCTGATGCTAAAGTATTTTCTAAAGACACAGGTTATTAGTCCTAGCTTGGATGAGTTTGCAAGAGAATTCAGGTGCTGAATTTATTCTGTTTTGGCTCCTCTGAGGCATGGCATACGTTACAGAAAGGCCTCAGTATGTTTGCCTTAAACAGGCAATGTTCTCAGAAGGCACTTTGGCTAGGAAGAAAGGATAAAACTATACCTTCCCTTGAATCCAGTAAATCCTGTTTTAAGTAATACAGATTGTTTTCAGTTTACTTCTAAGAGGTACATTTCAACGTGCATTTTACAATACCTTTGTACATGTCTGTCCAGTTGGTACTTCTCAAATGTTTTGAAGAGAATAAAGAGGAAAAGAGCTCTTTACCTCCTGAAGACGGTTGTCTGAAGAGACACTAAACATTATTCTATATTGAGATTTCAGGGAAGATATTTATGCTGTAAGGCACACAGGGAGTGATTTTATGTTGTATATATATGAGATCCTCTGATCTAGCCTTCTGTGAAGAGGTTAGATAAACTGCATTATGTTCACACCTTTTAGATGTTTGATCATTTCTATTCTTGAAGATCTTGAGTGCATAAGATCCCATGGGCCCTCCAGGGAACATACCCCAGCACTTTGCCAGTAAGGATGTTTTCTAGTATCTAAGCAGGTTCTTCTGTGTCATGTTTTGGTTTGCCATGATAAGGGTGGAAGAAGACACATTATCGCCTTCCACTTCCTCTGGCAGATAGCCCCACACATGAACATTAGGTGTTTATGGTGAGATCATTTACTAGGTATTTGTTCAAACTCTTTCACAACATATTTTGTCTTTGTGTTTAGGTGTGAGAATAGTGAGAATGAGATACTTTTTTCATATAGTATGGTAGTCCTACATATTCCTTGATTGCTGTAAATTGCTTTTAAAGGGAAAAAAATGGTCTCCTATTGGAAGCAAAACAGATTTACCTCCTTTTCTATGAGCTATCAGCCGTATGGGAATTTGTAGAAACGAGAGAGTTAATAATATCATGATCAGGTCAGCAACTTTGAAAGGCTCTTCCACTTTGAAAACCATTTTCTTAATTATTTTAAGTTAACACTTAAATGCTTAGAAAAAAAATCACGTGTAATCTGAAACCCAGACATGGGGACAGGACTGGATTGAGATAACATTAAAGATTTTATTGCTGTTACATTATAAATTATTTCTATTATGATGGCCCTGTGGGTATTACATTCTGTCAGTTCGCTTTCGCTGTTACATCACTTAATGTTATTAACACACTTTAGGGTATAACATTACAGTTTTATTGTGGAAACCTTAAACACTTACATCCAAAGTACTGAATCAAGTTATTATCTTAGCTGACCAGATCTGGTCTATTATCATTTTATCACTCATAAAAACCTGTGATTCAATTTGATTTAACACTTGATGAAAAAATCATGGCTTATATATGCTTAAACCTAGTTGCAATATTAATACAAAGCAACACATGGATGACTTCATTTTATTAAAGTTGAGGTAGCCCTGGGAACTGCATTTATGATCTTTATGCCACATGAGAAATTTGATCTGACCTGTTGGCATTTGTGAACTAGTATACTGATTTCTCACCAGTATATTAAAGAATTGTGAATATTTTATCTTTCTTACTGCAGTCATTATCCACTCAGAGACGATACATTGACCACAGTGTGCTAACCAAGGAAAAAGGTATCCCTCCCTGTCTTGAAGTCCTTTTAGACTGGAAAAATGTTGTACTTTGAAAGGCAACTCACGGTGCTCCACTGAGTTTAATATTAGAAAGAAATTAGGCCCTTGTTTCTCTGTAGTCTGTATAGGCCAGCAAAGATCTTTAACACTTGCACAATATTTAGAGGCAGGAGAAGTTCCACTGAAGTCTCTGATCAGCATTGTGCAGACAGTTGATTATTGGCTTTGGTTATCTAGTTGAACCAAAATAAGAATACATTGCTTGGCACTGCCTGAAGTATTTCAATCTTACTTAGGTTAGGTGTTGTTTGCTTTGAGGAGAAGGTGAAAAACTTTCAGAAATGAAAAATCAGGATGTTTTACATGTTGAAAATGTCAAAATGGGACATTTCATCTTTTTCACTTCAGGGGGAGGAAGAAGACAAGACTATGCTGGTATGCAAAAGCAGTGCTGAATAACCTTAGAAAGGAGGTCTGCTCCTGCATCCCATTTCCCACTGAAATTGGAGGAAGGAGTTTGGTCAGCCCAACATCCAGGAGTTCACCAACACAGTGGCTTTCCAAGCAGTTGGGTGGACACACGGAACCAACCAGTCCCATTCTGGCATGCGCCTGAGATCTCCCTAGCAACAAAGATGACAGCTTGGTAACAGCAGCTGCTGCTTAATGGAAAACATTAGAAAAATAACTCATTCTAGATCTATGTTCCATCTTTGCATTTTCATATTTATCACAAGAAAAGTGTTCTAAGAAGAAAACACCCCACACCATCCAGAACTTTAAAAAGCTTTAAGGCGCGAGGGTCAGACACACAGCTGTGCGTGTAAAGAGATGAGCTTCAAAAGTGTGATTTTGTTATTCTGGCACACACATTTTTCTTTTTAGCCACAGCTATATTGTTTGCAACTTAACAAGTGGGCCTGTGTACATGTTGTGGGAGTGCCGTGGATGTGCTATTATTTATTCTTGCATCAAACATGAGAGAAGGCCAAATATGTGTTAAATTCCAAGTCAGCATTTTTGGTTACTGTTGCTTGAAGTACATTCATTTCTTCAAGTATATCAGAGCTTGGTTCAACAGAAAGGAATTAGTATCCATACAAAAGCAAATCCGTGTGTCTGCTAAAATCTTCCTCTTTTTTTTTCTTTAGTAAAAGCAAACACCAAATTATTTTTTCTTCTGTTATAAGTGTTCTGAAAAAGTCCAGTGAAGACATAAAGACAAGTATATAGCCTCTTCCTGAAATGAAAAACAAATCAGAGTAGAGCTACATCACCACGTGAAATAGACAAATTAGGTGGAGACACATTAACTACTGTCATTCGTCAGTCTGAAATGATACAATTTACTACATGATAATAATGGCCATAGTTGTATAAGTAGTAAAGGTAAAATTACATCATGACTTGCATTAGCAGTATGAGATTATATCCTGATTAATGCACAATTAACTTGTCATGTGTACAATGCATGTGTTTGTGGGTGCACAGCTGGGTTATGCTGTCTCATGCTCACATATGTAGTATTTATCACTTCCTCCTCTTATCTCCAGAAATTAAATGGCTTCAACTACTAAAATCCATAAACACGCTGCCAGCTTGGTGGAGAGCCATCTAAAGTACAACTGAGAGACCCTTGGAGATGACCACTGGAGAATCTTGAACACCTGCATGAATCCTGTTTCTACAGATTGGGAGCCGCATCCACAGCTCCAGGAAGACATCTCCAAGGTGAGAGCAACAACCTTACCTGCTCTTCTGCTGGCAGGCACCAGGCACCTGAACTGTTCTCAGAGATGTGTATCAGAGCTCCTACTCCCAAGAGAAAGCCCCCAACACACACAATGACCATGGGTGAGGAATTCCTTTGCTCCTTTTTTAGTTTGATTTTGCAGGGGAAAATAATTAAGCTAAAGGGGCAACTGAAAAAGTTTTTTACTTTTAGTTGCAATTATGCATGGAGGTGCTTCAACTTCACATGAACTCCTCTGTTAATGGAGAACTATGTTATGTGTCCATGTGCTGACATTCAGGTGTGCCTCTTGGTATGCTCCCTCCCTCTGTTATTTTTCAGTTGTGAGTGTGTGTGGCTACACATCTGGGTGTATGCAAACATGTACAAAACAGTGAGGTAGTTAACACTGTTGAGGGGAAACAAAAGACCCCCAAATTTTAATCTCTGTTCTATCACAAACTCAGTGTTTGTCCTTGAGAAGCTCATTTTAATTTCTCTTACCAGGTTTCTCAGCCTGAAGTGAGGGGGAGGGATAATAACGTTGTTATGCTAGCCTACCTCACGCTGTATGTGATACTCAGTTAGCTGTTTGAAGTTGCAAATTGCTGAGTGATGATGGAACATAACTTTTCAAAATAAATGGCATCAGATTTTATTTTTTTCCACACTTTTTAGTACTAAAATCTACCAGAAAGGGTTGGCTGACTTTGATCCTTCCTGTGCTTTATTTTCACGTTTGATGCTTCTCCCCAGTTCCAACACCAAATGATGGTCATTTTCCAGCACTTCCAATTTAGAAGAAAAAGCTCATATAGCAAGGAAAAAAATCTAATCATTTTGTTGTCCTGAAATTTCTTTTGCAGCTGACAGTATCAAGTATTTGCTGGTTTGGGTACAAGGCACCCAGCATTTGGAAGAATGCAGATTTTGAGTCCCAGTTTTGCACATCTTGAGTGTTCAAAAGATGAAGAGAACCATATTATGTTTGAATTTAACTGGTAGAATATTTTTAAGTTCTTCAGAATTACTTTTGCTGAATAGAACTTAGCAGAGTAGAAATACTGGATGGCTACAAAATCTCCTTTATATTATATTTCTTCTGTCTAGAGCAGACATTTGACTCTGTCCCAGACAAGCAGTCCACTTTTGTCATTAGGGATTCACTTTATTATGCTGTAGTCTCCATTTTCAGCATATCCTGAGAGATACCATCAGGAGATGATGCTACAGAAAGCTGGCCAAGGCTTCATTTACACAGGTAAAAATGACAAGTGACGTGACCATTTATGTGAATTTTAATTCCTGATACAACAAAACTCAAATAAATTTTTACATTGGCATTAAGCCTGTATTTGAGTGCACATTAGGCCTTAGACAGGCATAGGAGAGACGAGAATCCAGTCTGCTCCCTTTGAAATGTCACCAAAAATGCATTATCAAAAATAAAATCAATCTCTCCCATTCTTCAGGAGTGGTTTGTGTGTCTCTTGAAGTACTTCAAGATGACAGAAGAGAGACACTTCCAATTGCACGAGCTGAAATAACTGACTTACTCTTCACTTGTAAGAGTGAATTTAAGATTCAATGATATCAACGCTTACATTGGCCAAGGAAAAAGGTAGGAGGAAAACAGATTAGTTCCTTCATTGCTAATCTCACTATTAATAAGAATTGTCAAGTCTGAAAATCTAAGTAGCGTAGACTTGGGGCATGTTGAGAATTCGGGCAAAATACTTTGGGTTGAAGTAGTTAATGCAAGTCTGAAACATTTCAGTGTTGAACCATTAAAAGTAAATTAAAAATATTGTAATTACATTTTAGACAGATGCCTACTTCAGCCAAGAAATAATAAAAAAAAAGCTTAAATTAAGCCCCCCAAATCATGCCATTCTCTAGATAATGTTTTGAGGGGGAAAAGAAGAAAAAGGAACAAATGGTCAAATGGATTTCACATTGCCAAACGGGTATTCTTTCTGACAAAAAAGTTCTGTGCAGAACTTTGTCCAAGCAGACAATTAATTTTTGCTGCTGTGCAGAAGACATCACAGCTCACAGAAAACCAGCACAATCATTGGCTCACACCTGTGTTAATTCCCCAAGTACCCTCCCAAGGGCTGGAGCCTTCCCAAGACAGACACGGGTAACTTCCCAGCCACAAATAGCTGCTTGCCCTCTGCGGTGTTTGCTACCAAATAGATTAGAGGAAGCCACACTGTGCCGTTAGCACCGGCTCTGCTGTCTGGGAGGGCTAGACATTAATGCTTAATTTTGCTTTTTGAAATTCCTTCTCAGCCCCAATTATTGACGTCTAGGCAGGAAGCCTGTGAGAGCTTAAGGGATCTGACATCCATGACTAAGACAGTTAATACGCTTTGTCAAACAGTGACTAACACGAGCCAGGTAGCAGCTCGCCTCCTAGCATTACAGAGCAGAAATCGGAGGGGTTTGGGGTGCATGCTTCAAGCTTCAGGAGCTGCTCTGCAATGTTTTTGAGCAGAGAGCATGCGAGGCAAGCGCAAAAGATTATCCCCCCCCTCCTCCAGTCCCCATCAGTCCCCAGCCCAGCCTGTAATTTGGCAAGATGAATGAAGTGTTTTCGGAGTGTCATCACTTCTGCCTCTGGCAGATTTGCTTCCCCAGTCTGCCTTTCGCCTTTTGGACCTGTCACTCAGCCCTTTGGCAGAGGGGAGGAGGGGGAGGGAGGAGGAAATCATCTCTTTGCTAATCACCTATCACAAGCAATGAAATCCCGCAGGCTCCGTGCCAGCTAGGTACATTTCAAAGGGAAATGGAGGGGGGCAAAGTGTCACTCAAGGCAGATATTTATGAAAGATGACAGTTTGCAAATATCTCAATCTTGGACAAGGCTGCTCCAGTGACACAGAGGAGTGTTGCAAAATTGGAAGAGTCAGCAGCCAACATTTATTTCATCAGGACCTGTCCAATCTTCAGTGATCGCTTGACAGTCTGGGGATTGCTGGCACAAGCCGGCCTCTTTTCTATTGGTTGCTTTCATTTAGTTTGCATGGATCAGTCTAAAGAGTTCTAATAAATATGTAAAGAAGGATAAAAGGAGTAGGTTTGCAGACCTGCATCCTCAATGGAAGAAGCGGCACAAAATCCCTTTTTAGCTATGCCAAATAGCAACAGTAGTAATTACATCTCTATTGATCGTAGGAACAATGAGATATAGGCTGTGTCTCACTCATGGAGACCCCCCATGACATCTAGGCTCCCCCCATTGCCACCAGCAGCTGCCACAGCAGTACTGGCTTCTCTGAGGAACTTTTCTTCTGCCACCCCCAGCTATCAGCATCGTACAGGAAGGGTGCACTGAAAACTTGCTGCACCTGCAGGAGCCAGGTGAACGTTTCACACTCATTTAGAGAGCTCAGGGTGAGCTGAGGTCCGTGCCCAACCCCTCATCCACCTTCCACACTGTGAGGTAACTCCACCATGGCAGGCAGCTCAGCCAATCAGGGGGCTCCAGTGCCATGATGTCACCAACGCAAGGGTTTATGTCCCGCCCTGCTGCACTCAGCCACCTCGTGGAGGCGCCATTTTGAGCTGTGGAGATCGACGTGGGTGGAAGGGTTTTCCATATAGCGAGTCTCAGGTATGATGCTGCTGTGTGTCCAGCACCAGGGAATACGGTCGCTGCAGGGAGCAGGGTGGGTGGGGAGGAGGTCACAAGGCCTTGGAAACTGGGGGATTCCAGGCTTCAGCAGGTGGGAGGGGAAGAAGCAGTGGGGAGGAGCTGTGTTCACACCTAGGGTGATGGGGTGTGAACTGGGAGGTGGGCTGAGGGGCTGATGAGCTGTGCTGCTGCAGGTTGTGAGAGCCCCCTCAGGCAGCAGAAAGGCACATGACAGTGCTCAAGTGTTGCCATCAGCCATCCAGCAGGAAATAACAGATAACTCATGCTCCTAAGGGGCTGGTGCCAGCGCTGGTTCTCTGCCTTGTTCTGTAGGGACTGTACCTTAAAGCTTTGAGGACCTGCATTGCTGATCATAGAGTACATGCTTCTGCCTCTCAGTTGCCCCTGCTGTTTCATTTGCACATGTTACAAGCTAATTGAGAGGACAGTAGCACAAAAATGCTGTGTCCTACAGGAACAATAGCCTAACAGATTGAATTGCCCTGCTGTGGGCTGAGAAGCAGCAAACAGCTTCTGAAATGCTGTGTTAGAAAGGTCGAAAGTAAATGCACTTATTGACAGCAGCAGAGGAACAAATGCAGTGAGTTGGCATAAAACCTGGAATTTCCGAGTGAAGACGTTTCCTTTCTTAGAATTAACAATGAATTGTAGGTAATAGATGGAATAATCCTTTCTCAATATTCACTATTTTCATGGTCAAATGCAGGGTCTAAAAGGAGAGGCTAATTCAGCCACTTGCTATATGGTGTTTGCTTGCATCTCATCCAGTGAGGGTATGTGTGTGTGTGACTCATGGGAAGTAACATGGCTGGAGGTGGATTATGTTAGCAGAATGCAAAACTGCTCTTCTGTTTTAGGGTTTTAGCAATTGAAATGGATTGTGAATTCAGTTAAAGGCCTTGTTCTTCCTTTCTTTATGCCTTGTGTATCTTAGAGTTTTGCTTAACTTAAACTAAACTGTGGCGTAAAGCAGCAAGTTCAGTCATCAAAAAGTATTTTCTCAGATCTCTGAGGTTCAGTCAAGATGCACATGGTGACAAGTGGTAAGATGTTAGAGATCCAGAGGAAAGAAGCTACCACTGCTTTTAGACTAGTATATTTCTAGTATATTTCAAGACAACAGATACCTCATAGATGTCAGTAGGACTGTGTTACTCTCCAAAATTAATAGTGAAAGGAAATGAAATGTACCAACAAGTTCTGCCTATTCAGAGTTCAACAGTGTACAGTGGGAGTATTCACCAGAGGTTCCTGGAAGTGCAGCTTGCTTTTCTTAAACACTCAGTCCATTTGTATTTACAGATATACTGAGGCCAGTATACTTGTGATGTAGACCCTAGGGTTAATTTCATGCTAGCCAGAGTGGTAAAGCTGTGGTGGTCTTCACTGTGTGCTGTGCTAGGCTGTTCAAAACTGGCATGGAGAATCCTCCTCCACAAGTTTCCCTTTTGGCCTGCTCTGGCAGCCCACAGAGAAGCTGATCAGCTGAGTGGGTGAGGGAGAGGTTAGCATGCTCACTTCACTCTATTATAAATATCTTTGCCAAAACAAATTATTCTTATACAAGGATTCATGGGTAAATCTTCCATCACTGGGGAGGAAAAAAAATGAAGGGCTATAAAAGTCTAGTTAATCACTGCACACCCTGCAAGGAGCAGAAGGCCATTTCCAGAGTAATTGGAGTTATCTTCATTATTCTTATTTTCAATTACATTTCAAAATCAAATAACAAGTTGCCTTTTAGACAGCTTCATGATCTAAATCCCAGTTCTATAATTTTTACTTAGTGCTTACTTAGACAAAAGTTCTCCTTGATTGTAGTGGCCTTTTAGCTTCTTGAAGAAACTTCCTGGAAAAAAGATACTTAGAAAGTTTTGGTCTTTGAAAAAACAGAATCTCAAGCTGTCCACCCAAATGCCCATGTAGCTCTTGCAAGTCACCTGTCCTGTTATTTAAATCTATATACAAATAACCGCTTTTCAGGTGCCATCTTGACACCAATTAAACACACAGCTGTGCATCTGTTCATGTGTAGGGCTAGATTACTGATGTGTTGTAACTCAGGCACTGCTGTTAACTGCAGAGTAAGCAGAATGATTCTTAATAATTATTAAACAGTTGATGAAAAAAAAAATTAATGGCTGCATCTAAACTATCCAAAGCAGGTGTGAGGTCTGTTTCTTGACTGGCCTTCATGGAGGTAGTTGGCTGTGCTACGAGTTAAAAGTTAGTGGGCTGATACTTGCTTATGCTGAAGTGTGCAGGGAAAATGTCCTCAAAGGTTTTTGGTTCTGGGGTACAATGTAAGAATTGTTATCAGAGTAGGTCTCTGATAGTTACAGACATCTCTTGTAGGTTTCTAGTTACTTTTCTGAAGTATTCTTGTACATACAAATCTGCACATACATGTGCGTGTATGTGCATATATCCTTATGTCAACACTAACCATCTTGGCAAGATAGGCACTGGCTAGCAGGAAGGTGCTTCTCAGATCAACACAGTTCTGTCTCTCTTCATAAGGCATAAAAGTGATAGCGTCTATAGAAACTTATGTGCCTGCATGACAGGAAGGGAGGGTACTTAGGAAAAAAAACCACAACTCCAAAGCAAAGAGAAACAACCCAAACCAGAGAATCACAACCAAAACTCTTAATGTTATTCAGTGGATTTCATCCCACAGGACAGGTGTTTCCATACAGGTCAGGGGAAAAAATACCACCTTCTTTTCTCGAATATCACTTTTCATATGGTAAATCCCTCAGAGTCTTTATTATGGAATGAATAATAGATTAATCATTCCTCTGTGTGCAATGCTGGGGCTCTCTAATGTCACTGATTATTCTATATTGAATAAATAGTGTTGCTAGGTTGATATGTTTAAGGCAAATGAGATGCTTATTGGTATCCAAGAAGCCAGTTAACAAGATCCATTTTCCTCCATTGACTTCTACTCATGTATT